TTCCTAAACGTTTCCAAACCACTAGAGACCATTTTGACCCAGTTAATCTGCATGACACCTCCTAACGTGAGAAGCTTTTACTGCTGGGAAGACTGCCATGCTGTTCAGCTAGCTGACGCTTGGAGAGGTTCTGAGCACATGTCTCCAATGAATAATGCATCCATGTTTTTCAAACCTGCATCCGTCAATTTAGCTTTAAGGTGGATGAGTTTCAAGGAACCATATAGCAGGCAAGCAGCCAGTGATAAATGGGTGATATTTAACTGGATTTTTATTTAATCTTTTATTTAGAGTGTTAATGTATGTTATACATTCTTTTTTTATGTATAGATTTATTGAATTGCGTTAATTCAGTTATGGTGTAAGGTATACACACATTTAGCATTAGCCAAAATCAATCGGGTACAGTTTTATACAAAAACATTGTAATAAACATAATAAGAAATGATTTTACGCACAGAGTTGAATTATGGATTAAAAAAGATTTTTCTCCACAATAAAAGTAGGCATTAGGTTGACACACAAATATATAGTGGATTGGTATTCCCTTTAGGATAATTAAGGTTTTGCTTGGATTTATTAATGCATCCAGCTCACTAAAGAAAGTTGATGCAACAGTGGGCTAGTCATTGTTAGATGAAATGATGTTCTTTTAGATGATTAACATAACCTGTTTTTAATTTGTTTATAATCAGTGAAAACATTTTGAAGCCAGATTTTACTTTAAACCATGATGCTCTTTTTATCTATTTCTAAGGCCGACTAAAGTTAAACAAATTGGGTTAAAATAAAACCTTTTATTATTTATAAAAAAGATATTTAAACAATATCTGTTCAATGTTGAGTGATCAAACTAATGCTTGATAAGTCTGACTATATTAGATTTTAAACCGGAGATGATAAAACTTAAACCTTATTTGTTAAAAAGCTCCTTCCAATGATTGATTTCACATTATATTTTGTGTTTGCTGCTTCATAAATGTTTATGAAAGTGTTAGGGGGCACTTTGATTTTATTCAGTTTAATCATGGTCAAAATCTCATATTTGGGAAGCATTAGTTTCCCCCAAACAGCCAAAAAGAAAAGATAAATGAGCTAAAATATGGTGTAAGCGCCATCTGCAGAAAATAATCTACTAAGAATTAGATTGTATGAGATTAAAGCATTTTATGAAAACCTATATCCATAATACAAAAAAATATTGAAAAACAAAGAACATACACTGTAACAAACACTTATCCCTGGATGAGGGATGGTTGTATTTATTATTAAAATATGTGCTCTTATTCAGCCTGTTTATTAGATCAAAAGTTGCTTTTAAAAAATACAACATTTAAGCAGCAATTAAAAAATTATTTTCATTCAACTTTTCATTTATAGAAAATATTTCTTTTAATTGGTCTGATTTTATTGGTGGCAAGCACATAATCATGTTAATAGACATAACTACTTGAAACATCTGTCTCTATGCAATGAATCTATATTAGTGTTTAATTTAATAAGAAGGAGAACATTTTCAGTATTATTATTTTAATTTAGTGAATAAGACAACACATGTGTATTGAGTGTTTGTTTGCCAGTAATTAATGACAGTTTGAAAGGACAAAATGTATAAAAATGGGTGTAAAAGAGGGTATTAAATAAATATGAAGATGATTGAAGCAGGGCCAGCTGTATGTGGTTTAAGTCAGCGGTCCCAACCACCGGTCCGCAGCCCGGTGGTTGGGGACCACCACATTTGGTACGGGGCCGCACAGAAAAAAAAATAAATAAATAAATATATATATAGATATATATATATATAGATATATATATATATCTATATATATATATAAATTTATTGACGATCAGAGTCTGAGTGATGTTTTATTTTGAAAAATATAAAAAATTGCGGTATCCTCTCCCAATTACATTAGTTGGTACATCTGTGCCTCTTGTCACAGGTTAATTCAGTTCAAGACTCATCCTACCAATAACATCCTATCTTTGAGAAGCGGGATTTTCTGCGGTTACAGCGACCGGCTTGTTGTTTTATTTTTATGCTGTTTGTGTTTGATTTTATGCCAGTAGTATCATTTTACTTGATCGTATCTCCCCAACGTACCATACCAAATATTTGCTTTAATCATGGAGTGAGTAGAGTTGCAATTTTCAATAACTATACTACGAGCATTATTTTCTTGGAGGTCATTTTATTGATAGTATTTAAATATTTCATGTTATATTTCAGCATTCCATAATGATGCTAATATTCTCCCAGTGCACATATGTAATTTATCTATTGTGGAAGCACAAGGATTTTAAATATTGGCAGACTGTAGTCGATTTTTGCTTTGGTAGCATTTTTAAAGGCAGCATATCTCATATGCCTACATCTTTCAGCAATCGAGGGTAGGCATTTGTTTTATTAAACAATAGATAATTAGATTTTTCTGCACATTCAATAAAGTAGAGATCAATAAGTCAAACTTTAATTAATTAATGATGTGGAGGATTAGGATCAGTAGTCATGGGAACATGTAAAGAAAACTTTACCTTTGAAATGTAGGCTGCTTTTTTTTTTTTTTTTAAGTCGCATGTTAACTGTGTATTTATTAACTGGTTATTAGTATGAAAAAAATTAAGGTTTTTTTCTTTTCCTTTTAGTCTTCACTCTGAAATACGAAAATTGATATCATAAAATTAATAGAAGTAAACTTGCATCAAAGGATTAAAAAAATATATCTAGGACATTTTTTCAGCTGTATGTTAATTGTGCAACTCACTTTTACAGTGTTGCTTCACATTATGCTCCCCTCCGTATGAAGCTGGAAAATAATTTTAGCAAACTTTACAAAATGCTCTCTGACAATCAGCTTTCAGTGGCCTGACACAGTCGTAAACCATTTTGCAGTCTTTGTTGTAGCTACTGTCTTTTCTTCAAAGCAAAACTAAATAACATTTTTACTTTGATATAGATTCTCTTTCTAGTCCCTATGATGATAATTTAAGTGTTTATAAGACCCTTGTTATCTTTACCTACGGGCTGTGTTCTGAAACCCACACTTTGGCACCGACCCAGTGGAAGTCTGTTCATGGCAGCCCGACCATTTTCATCAATAGCCACACACCTGGATACAACCATTTTTTATTTTTGAACGGTTATGACATGGCAGAAATAGCAAAAAAGGGCAAAGAAGACCCTTTGTCATATTAGAGAACAAAAGAAGGGTTTGGGGACGGGGCTGGAAGAAGTGCGAAAAGCAGCATATCAGGAGACCTGGTCACCATAGAGCAAAAAAAACAAAAATTACATTATTCCAAATGACCTTGGAGAGAAAAAAGTTAAAATCCAAATTGCAACTGAACATTTGAGGAAACAGTTTTACTGTTTTTTTTTTTTTCGTCTAATTATCAGAGCACTGAATATATTGACCCTTAGAAAAAATGGCAAGGAGACATGTTTCTCATCCTTAGTCTAGAACTTTTATTAAAGGAGTCAAAACCTGGTAGCCTTTGAGGTACTCACCGAAGACTTAAATAATCTGGCACTGATAACTGGTAGCAAGCAGTTTAAATAGAGACTAGAGCAGGTGACACAAATTTACAGGGATGAGAAATAGGGCGGAGCTAGACAGGTGAATGGAATGAACTATTAAGCTAGTCATCAGTCCCAAGATCAGGACCCTTGACTCGTGCTTTCAGAACATCATCAGCATACAGTAACCCAGGAATGATTTTGCCACACATTATGGCTTGCGCTTGATTCTGTTTTGAAATCCTGCATATCTTTCCATGCACCTGGACCCTTAACCTTTTGATAGATAATGAGCTGGGTTAGTCTGTATTGCTTTACTCTGCCAACAAAAAGACGTGTGGTGGTTATATGAAAGTATGGGAAATTACAGACACACAATCAGCACAACTTTTTCAACCTCAACTAAAAAAGTCACCTGGACACAGAAACTTGGATTGTAATTTTCTTCTCTTTTAGCTATTTTTTGTCATTTAGAATGCTTTACCATAGATGTGGAGATTAGGTTGCCTACAGTGTTTACAGTAATAAGAAACTGACAACTGTTAACTTTGTCTACTGCTTATCATGGAAATGTGACAGGAAATTTGAATAACATTGTCTCACAGTGAGCCTATATAAATCATGATATAAAATCTATTTATGTCTTCCAGAATTTGGTGTTGTTTCATCCTTTTTTCCTTCCCTCTTTTTGTATCAGTTACCAGCATGTCATAAGATGAAAAATGAGGCGATGTATGGAAAAGAGGCTTATTTGACATTCAATTTGCAATTTCATTGTCCTTGGTTTTTAATGAATTACCAGTAGTGTGTTTGATTTTCATGAATAACCTTCATGTTCATTGTCACTTGTTCAACACTGGAGATGATTTAAGCCATTTTTATTTCAGCTTGTGCTACATGCAATTCATCCCCCCAGAATTAGGTCTACATTATTCATTCTGTGGTATGCGATTTGACCGCAGTGTTTCTGAGCGCACTGTTAAATGAAAATATTTCACGTGTGAATTAATCATTAGAAGGGCTCATTCTCCATTCTTCTCATAGCATAATGATCTCTCTCCTTTTACGACTGGCCTGGATGAATCTTTTATTGTTTTTATCTTTAAATGCTCTAGCACAATCCACCAAGGAGACAGGGACACAGTGTGTTTCAAAGCAGTGTCAAAGTCAACATGTGGCTGAGCTAAATGGCATCATTCAATAAATGCCAAATGCAATAAAGTAACTTACTGATCTTTTAATAATGTGGAGACGCCTTTTTAATTTAAACTGAAAATTACTAAATTTTGCACGCACATTCTCCAAACAGTAGACAGTGTTTTGACTCACATGCCACAATGCTTTTATTTTAATGAGATGATCTTTTAACCTCTATTAACCTCAAGAATAAGTCAGGCTGCCCTTGCATAATTATTTCTTTGACCCAGTCTGTTTTTTTTTTGTTTTTTTCCTATCCTCTGAGTCATTCTCTCTTTCTCTCCAGGTTTTTCAATCCTTCAGGCCATCATGGAAGCAGCAGTGGCCAACAACTGGCAGGTGACTGCTCGCTCTGTCAGCAGCACAACAGACGCCGCAGAGTTCAAGCGCATTATTGAAGAGATGGACAGGAGGCAGGAGAAGCGTTATGTGATCGACTGCGAGTTGGACCGCATCAGTACTATATTGGAACAGGTGGGTCCAGCTTTTTAGACTCAGGTCAGGCATTTATTGTTGCAGACATACCCAAATACCTGTACATTGCAAATGTTAGAACACTGCAGGCAATACTTTTCACAAGAATCAAAAATCAGGAATCGCTTATTGTCTTCATGCATTCACAGATTATGAAATTAAATTCAGTACCTCTATGCAGAAATTATCTTATATTATTATCTTATATACCTGACATTGTTCAAAAACACTCATTGTTGAATGAACTTTAGTGAGATATACAAAGCTTTTCAAACAATTCAGTCTTTCTTTCATGTAGATTTTCCTTTGTTGTTAGAACTTAAGATTGTGGGAAAGTGTCCGCATCATATATAGTTGGCTCAGATTTGCTAACTTCTGGAACTGTTCAAATTTGAGTCTTCTTGTCACCAGACTTGCTTCAATTCATTCTGCACAAATTCATTACAGCAGTGAGAGTGACTCACCGTTTGTTTTAGTTTAATGTGTTCTGACTGGTGACCGGCCAGTCTTCGGTTTGCGTGTTCTTACTAAGTCAAGAATACTCAGTGTTTAACAGTTTATGGAGTTTTTGAGGGTACAAACTTAAATGAATGAATACATAATAAAATAAAGATGTGAATTTCCAAACCATTAAGTTTTGAGATAGACAATATAATAATCAACTGTACCGCATAATAACTGAACATGCCTTTTAACTGATTAGAGTTAAATTATGAATGCTGATGAAATTATGTTTTATAAATTCAGCAGTATAATATAAATAATTATTTCACTGTATTTAAAAAAATTTGTGACTTCTGTGGCTCATCATGAAATTATCTAAACTGCCAAGTTGACTATTTTAACTGGATTAGAGCGACAACATAGAGGTTCTGACTAATAATTGGCAAGTCAGGACAACTTCTTTCGAGTTTTCTTTGACTCTGAGGTCAATATATATGCTGCGAAGTGTGGCATTAACATCAAGTTGTTTTATCCACAAATTGGTCTGCAACAAATTCAGCTATTGCATTTTATTTTATTTTACATTAACATTTATTTCATGAAATATTTATATTTTATTTAATTTTGTCCACTTTATCCCACCATACTAGATAGCATTTAGTGAGGGGGGTTAAATTCAGTGGGCACAGAGGGATGTCAAAAAAAAAAAAACATTTGAAAGGACTTAAAATGACCAATCATATAGTAACAGTGTATAGTAGTGACCAATTTATTTTTTAAAATCTTTTAATATTGTTAGCTTAATATTTATCAAGAGGCAAAAGCTTTACAAAACAAAAACATTTTTTGGATTGGAACAATTCTATTTGTAGGTAAACTATAAAAAAAAAAATGACATTGCTATGTGTAAATTTAGCAAAATATGCAATAGCTTAAAATAGTTATAACCTTAGAAGACAATGCATTCAGTTAACAATAAGAGAGTAAGTTAACCTCATTTACCTCTTTTCTAATCTACTAAACCTTAGCTGGAGGTTTCTGCTTAAAAATGAAATGTTAGTTTCATCTTATTTATTAGCAGATTTCCAGTAAAAGTTCCGCCAGAGGTTTGCAAACTACAAACACTTAATTTTGTGATCATGAGTCTGAAAAACAGTTTTGGAGCCATTCCTGCCAGATAGATTAAATGCTCTTATGGAGATAATCCCATGATATTGCTATTTGCTGTGGGTAACAGTGAGATTTTTATTCCTTCCTGGCTATCATCTTTACAAGCATCAAAGTGAACCCAGTTTAACTCCGTTATATTAGCTAACGCATATATTAGGCTTTCATGTCTCATCCTATTTGTACCTTCCAAAAATTGTTAATGTGTTTCAACAATTTAAACCTCGCTACTCAGGTTAAATAGAAAAAATAGGGTTGTATATAAAAAGTAAAATTTTTAATTGGAAGAACTGGACGGGGTGAAATAAAAGTGACACTGATAAATTTGTGATAAAAAATGTACAGTAAATGAAAGGGAATTTTCTTACTGTAAATGTTTAATATTTCTTTAATTTTTAACAGCTATAAAGTGAAAACAGTTCAAGATTAATTTACACCTCGTTACTGCAAACGCCACAAGAATTGAGCCCGCTGAATACAGAATTTAATTCTTAAAGAACACAACTTTTTAAGGAAGAAATCTAAATGTTTACAAGACAATTTTTTTTTTACTTATTTCACATCCATAATGCAAGAATAAAAAAAAATTTAAAAATCTGAATTATATCTTTGTTGTTATATAGTTACATTTCTATTTAAATTAATCTAACTTGTGTATGTTTTGATCTTTTTGTGTATATATGTGCCTACTGTGCATCTTTGGCACTAAGGCAGTCTTCTTTATCTGTTTTTTTTTTTTTATTTTATTATTATTTTTTTTTTTTTTGAGTAAGTGCCTTGCTTATCAGAGATTGAGGTCAGTGCCTCCCTGCTCAGCTGAGTTAGTCTGAGGTTTTCCTGTGCAAAGAAATAATTGGAGTGGAAATGTGTTGTAGAAAAGTATTGCGGTTAACTATTATTGCTTATAGCAAAATCAGCAGAATGAGAGACTCGTTGGAGTCACTGTTATTTTTAAACATGATATAAGAAGCTGTAGCAGTACATGTTTCATATGGGTTTTAATTGTCATATAATTTTGGATCAAACCAGATTCTTTGTTCTGTCCTTAGAATTTTTGGATATAATTTATTATTATCCATAATTCTAGAGAGACCATCAGATTTCTTGGTTAAACCTAAATCCATTTGCTTAAATGTATTGATATTTTAAAGGGTTTATGATGCCACAGACAGCAGCTTAAAAAAAAGCCTTTTAATTAGAAAAAAACATAAAAAAACATTCCAGATCCTTCCTCAAAACCTAACAGTGGGCATAAGCTTCTCTTCCACTTATTTCTGTTGGACTGGAATCCACAAAGTAGGTTTAAATGGGAGACAAACAAACTCTGGCTCAGTTTTCTGAAAACGTTTTGGCCCCTTTCCTGACGTCGATTCCGTCACGCTAGAGAAACCTGCAATGATTTTAAGCATAATAGAGGTCCATATTCCAAAGTAAATTCCAAACGAGATGCAAATCAATGACTCATCCATTGTTCTCCTGGGTTGTTAGTCTTTTGTTTTATATAGATTTTGTGTTTGGCCAATTAAATCATGATGAGTGTACTGATGTTACCTCTTTGAAATGTGTTAAAGGACCTGAGTGAATATGCTTGGAAGCTGAAACTGCAATTCAGTAATTTTTCTCTTTTAGCAAAGTTGGCTTCTTCACCCCTTTTTCAAACCATCTGTTCTCCCTGTTTGATCTGTCCTCTGATGAAATGTCTGCATTCTCTGTCAATGCATATATGTTGTTGGATTTCTTATTACAACCTCATGTTAGATCACACAGATTAGACATGCTTATTCTACCTGCCAGAGGTCACTCTGGTCTTGGGTGACTGACAGTTGCATAAGAGCATGAGCCGATCATATTGGAGGAGACTGCAGATGATACAGCTTGTTTACTCCTTCTCTGACAACCAAAACCCACTCATTCCTTGATCACGTTGATTGTCGGAGGAGCAAAGGAAAGGTTCACCAGTCCTTGTTTTACGGGAAAACATAATTACCATGAATAGACGAGTGGCTATTATTTCTTGCATCTCCCCTGTTTACCTGACTCACTCTACCCTCCCCCTGGCTTGCTTCTGATGGATTATAAGGCAATCAGTTGCAGAATTGGATTCTGCAGGTTAACATTTATTTAGATATTGGCTTCTCTTTGTCTCACAATATCCCCTCAACAACCATTAATTTCACTTGTTTCTTAAGGATCTAATTTGATCGGAGAGCCACAGTTATAAAACAGAGCTGCTAATAGTATTCATTTGCTTTGTCTATTTAATTTGAAGCTGCAAATTTCCTTCTGCTCACAATCTTGGAGAGAGACTTTTTTATTTATTGTGTTTAACACAAGCTTAGTCTTATCCATCCATCCATCCATTTCCTGACACGCTTAATCCCAAGTAGGGTCGCAAGGGGTGCTGGTGCCTATCTCCAGCTGTCTACAGGTGAGAGGCGGGGTACACCCTGGACAGGTCGCCAGTCCATCACAGGCTTTGTCTTATAAAGGAAAAAATTAGTACATTAATTTGATAAAAAAAAAAAAGGTGATATACATCCACAGTTTTGTGTCTAACTGCTCTCCTGTTTCAATCAGTGTACTCATCGATGATGTAATTATTTTCTCTTGGTGAGTGCTCCTCACCTATCCATACATTGTCATCACAATATTTCCCTTTCTAATGTTCTTTTATTTCATGCTGAGATAAAATACTGCTTTTGCAGCAGCTAACCTTCAAAGCAGCTGCTTGGTTTTGCCCCTCCGTTCTGCAACAACCTCAGCATGGGGGCTTCTCCCTCCCCCTTTTTTTGAGCTAATTGGAATAATCCGTCCAGCTCTGCCAATATAAATGAGTCACAGGCATTCAGGGAAGCTGCTGGACTTCTCTCTGTAGCTGCCCCCTATTGGGCCACACCATTATACTCTGAGTCAGGAATGGACTGTGTCCCATTAGGGAAATCACACCAAATATGGCCCCCACTGTGAGCTATGTGAAGACCTACGGCTTTTACCTGCTGGTGTGGCTCTATTAAGAAGCTATTGCAGACAGATACAGATGCATCTGTGGTAGACTGGTGAGAGGGGCTGAGCAGCCGAGGCCAGTGTCCGTTTTTTTTGGAATGCTGACTTGTCGCTTTGTTCTGTCAAGGTCATTGCCCGTTGAGAAGGAATTATAAAGAGGTGCAGATTCAGCAGCCAACTGGGATTTTTTTCTGTGGCTTGGTTTTGTGATTTAATTGTAAGTAATCCCACTGCAGAATGAATGACTTTATACACGCTGCTGCAGCTTGTGGAATGTGGTGATATGTTGAATAGGCAAGTTTAAGTATGCATAATTTGATATAATTGTTTCATAGCAGATAAAAAAATCCTTTATGCTGCACATGATGTAGCAGCACAGTTTATCC